ACGATGTTAGACTTCTCAAAACGCCACAGCCAATTCTAGACATCGCGTTGATACAAACATGAATACGCGCGACTAGTCCTTAAATGGCAGTTGGAAACTGCAGCCCACTTTTGCTGATCTTTAATGCTTTTGACTAATATATTTTTTAAATTGTTATATGTTAAGAAATAAGGTTAAAGTTGTACATTATAATTGGACGCAAACAACCGTTAAAGTTATTTTTTTGTTGTTTTGCATAACGATTTTGTTTATAGTTTTAAATGACCAAATAACGTATTAACACTGCGCTCTTCATAAATAATAATACATGCGAATAATACATAATGTGAAGTTTTCTTGGTCTGTTCAATGATTTAGACGATCTTTGGAAACGGACCTAAATAATTTCGGTATAAGATTTAAATATATATCATTCAACTATGCCTCACCTACACGAAAGAGGAAAGAGGTTTCAATGCACTTGATTTATCGGCACCCTAATGGAGCGTTGCGTTGCATTTACTGATGCAATCACAAAATCGACGCCGCTGCTGGCAATTCGGAATTTTTTGGAAACCTTCATACATATTTCATACAGATTTGCACACCTTCATACAGATTTGCGAGTAAAAATTATTACCGACAATAATTTCTATAAAACAAATTTTTAAAAATGCGACCGTGACCAAAAGGAAACATTTTAATCCATACTAATATTATAAATGCGAAAGTAACTCTGTCTGTCTGTCTCGCTTTCACGCCAAAACTACTAAACTGATTTAAATGAAATTTGGTACACAGATAGTCTAGAGCCTGAGAAAGGACATAGGCTATTTATTAATTGGAAAAAAGTGTTGTAAAGGGTTGAAAATCTTATTTTAAAAATATATAGTGTTCTTACTATTTAATAAATACTTCAAACACTGAATTAAAAACCATGTAAATTTTCTGAATGATTTGAGTATTTTTCAATGACTACCATAACTTCTCATAACGTGTTATTACTAGTTACTAAATACTATAAACACTTAAATAAAACCAACACTGCAATATGCAATAACGCAGCTAAACATTACAAACAGGCTTATTTATTAAACGGTTGCAGTACGAAATTTAAACTGTACATGTGTTCAATGAGCGGGGTTTGTACAAATCAGGAATCATGTGTCACTACAGTCTATGGTATTCGAAGCGCAAAGTACTACGTTATTCAACTTAATGGCTATTAGTTTGGTTCGTTAGTGGAATATTGCTAACGAATGTGCAACGGCCGCGCATTCCGGCGGCCAGAGAGCGTTGAAACGCTCAATTAGCACACACACTGCTCCACTGCTCGCTTTTCAAATAAAATGCCACTGAATTTACGCAATGCGCCTAATAAAAATATCCGAATGAATTTTAAACGTATGGTAGTCACGGGCAGCGAGTGCGGTTCGATTTACCGCGGCCTCGTCTTTTTTTAACTCCCCTTGTAGCTATTTTTTCATAGTTATTAAATAAATATTGAAATGGTTTTTGTTTGTTCAATTAATTGCAAGTAAATGAGGATGCAGTTTTTGGATTTAGTGGAACTTATATGAACCTGTTATTCTTTAATATTATCAACTAGATATGAAAATATGAGAGAAATTAAAAATTGTACATTTTATACATACTTAAATTCATTTTAGTGTTCAATTTCATTTCTAAATCTCATTTATATGACAAAGTTGAAGAAGAAAGTATAAAGAAAGTATAATCTAAAAATAATTTAGCAAACTTGCCTTTTAAACGCGTATCTGCGAAAAAAGGAAGACCAAAAGTCGTGTTACCGTGATGGGGATGATTAATACGCCTCATTTGCGGCACGCGCTGCCTAAGGGGGCGCGGAGTCTACGGTGCTACAGTGCTACAGATCTACGGGCTACGCGGCTGGGAGCTACACAGCTTCGTCGCGAAGCTACGTGCTTGACTATACGTGAATCGTTTACGTTTCCGTACTGGGAATTTATTAGGTTCCATTTGCGATCTCATTTATTTCAATAACTTTTTCTGAATTATCACGTTACTTGCTTTCTTCAACATTTAATCAAAGCAATATTATATGGAAACAAAGGAAAAATGTGAGCGTTCGGATTATTAATAGCTCCCCATAGCATGGTGTGATATTTTTATTAGGTTAATTAAAAAATAAATTAAAGAAGACCTGGGATCAATGAAGCTCAAAAATAAATGAAAGCAATTATAAAGTAAAAAAAAAAACTAAATATTAGTTGGACCATTGTGATCATGATAATTCCTTTACAATAATTTTTACAGATAACAAATATTATAACCAATATATAGGACAATGTAGAAACGCAGCTGATAAAAGCAATTTCATTTATTTAATGTAAAATATAAAGATGTAGGAATAAAATTATTTTTGTACGCAATATCCTTATTGGCAGCACTTGTTTTTCTTTACTTAAAAATCCGAATAAGGAAGACTTGTAAGAGCCCAATATTATTGTTGTAATTGGTTTCTAATACCACATAAACCCCCCAAACGTGTTAGGAGAGTGGACCGGGAGATAAAGTGCACGACCGCTTTCACACGAGCTCCATTTAAGTAAGAATTTCTTTTCAAAAATGGAAATATTATGTAAAAGAAAACGTTTATAAAATTATTGTCGTGTACAAAATACTCATAGAGAGTTATCAATTACAGGATTTTATTAATGTAATTGTTTTATTAATGAATGAATTGTTTTATTAAAGTGTTTCATCACAGAATTTTTTGTACTATTTTACTAGATAATAATTATGTTTCTTTATGCCAGTGATATAAACATAAAAGAAGTGACTAATTAGAGCAGGAGATGGGCGAAAAATTACGACATGTAAATAAGAAGTCTCATGCAGCGTCTCATGTTTAAATCTCAGAGGATTATAAAAAATGTATGCTGGGAGAATAAGCATTATATTTATGTACATGCATTATCGTAAAATAGAAGGAAACTAGTAATTGGCGTATTCGATGATTTAGTTTGCTAGTACCTTTTTTATCATTCCAAATTAACACTGAAACAAATTAGTCTTTGTTTCTATAAAATAAAACTATTTATCAATCTAACAAAAACGCATTTGAAAAATGACATTGTAAACGGCGAAAGGATGAAAGATACAATATTTCCGTGTACAATGCTCCTGTCCTGCCCAATCCAAGGAAATTTATGACCCACACCCGCTGACGGTGGCTAGTTCCACGAATACCGATTTAGACGCTTCTGTGAGCGTATCAGCGAAATATTGTACCCATGAAAATTCAATACAACACTCAGCAAGAAGATTTCCGGCGTCACCATAATTTAAATATATCTTTTGATTCCCAATGGAGATAAAACATGTGTCTGAGCAATACCAATAAGAGAATAGTTGATTATGGGATTTTATAACCAAAAGGTGCAATGAAAGAGGCATCTTTCATTCATTTCTCGTACACTCGGCTGCGTCCGAACTTTTACGGTTATCGGAGTTGTTAAATCCGCATTGACTAAAACAATAAACTCGTACCGTGCAAATAAATGCCCGTTTTCCTCGTTACCGAATAAAATCCAGCTGTTTAAAAGCCAGTAATGCACACGGGAAGCCGCACCGGACCAACGCCTATGCGATGCCCGCTGCTCTATTCATAGGAATAATTGCAATAGTCAAACAAAACAATCCAACCATTGTTTTAACTGCTAATGGTTGTCTATCTAAATTTTAAATGGAGAATTTCGCGGGCGCTTTTGTTTTCACTCGAAGTGAAAAGGTTTTGTGGTATGTTATTATTCGGATTATTCTTGAAATAATATCACTTAAACTTTACTTACTTTTTTTAATTAAAATTTTTTAGTGCTTATATTTGCACTTAAGATGAAACAGAATTTGTAGAAAAAATGGACCACAAATTTTTCTGCGGGAATAGAACCTAAGTCTTCCGAATTCGTGCCCACGCGGTATAATCCCTAACCTAAATGGGTTGATTGCCACACTGACGAAAATCTGAATGTAATTTATCTAAATTGCTTTCATGCACATTAAGCAATGCTACTTTTTACTTAGAAATTTATAATAAATTTTATTAAATTCAAACTCAAATATCTTTATTTCAACATAAGATCATTTCACTCGCTTATTGATAGTCAAAATATCACTGAGAAGAACCGGCGAAAAAAACTCAACGGACAGTTTTTTTTTTTACCATACCTACATTAAAAAAATATAGTATGTACGCGCACAAAAGGGTTTTACCAATTTCAGCGGTTTTAGCGTAAACTACTTCGCGTGACTGGTAGGAATAAAGCGTGTTACTGATCATTAGATGCAGCGAAGGGTAGAGTGAAAATGCTTTTTTCGTGCCATAAATGGAGAATCTGCGCTACCTTTGATTTGTTAAATTTTGCATTGATATTTTGCATCGGCAACTAAAATACATTACGTTCTCTCTTTGAAAATATATCAAAAAGTGTTTATCAAAAAGTGTTTATCAAAGAGCGTCAGGAAAAGTAATGTCCTTGAGAGATAAGACACATGTATGCGGCATAAAAGCAGATTTGCTACGATCCGTAGGAACTAGAGGAAATAAAGCTATGATTTATGCAAGTGAAATGTGTTCCAAACAACTGTTATTGTAACGCGGAGAATAATATAAACATCTTAAGTGAAAATATCATTCGAAGCTATAACACCAGACAAAAAAATAGTGATAGAAAATTGTTTTCGTTCGATTTCGATTTGCAAATGTTTAGTCCAAGAGCCCACGTTCTTTCAATTTTTTTTAAAATAGAATGCGTATAATTTGTCTATAACGTATGGATTCTCATAAATTATACTTGCTTGAGAATAAAATCAAAAAGTTGTTTCTATGTTTTTGCCACATAACCATATGGGAGAAAATATTGAGAGCATTGATAAAAAATGGCAACTCTTTTCTTAAACGACAAATGGCCGTATATCGAATGATTTCAAATAAATTTTTTTGTTAAATTTTTCTAATTTTTAAGAGCATTTTTCAGAATACCCTATGCCGATAAAATAACTCCCGAACCGATACTAAACAAAAATGAAGGAAGAGATACGAAGGCTGACTCGATTAGGAACAGCTACAACAGCCAATTCAAAGTTGGCATCTACGGCTGGAGAAAGAAATGTCTTTATATTCTTGTCATGGCACTTATGTTCATAATGATTATTAACCTTGTATTGACGCTTTGGGTTTTAAAGGTGTTGGACTTTAATTCGGTAAGTGCATTATGGTCGCTAATTTCGTTGTGATAATTGATTTGTAATATAAGATTAATATACACGTAGTTAGGCTAGCAATATTATGAATCTTGATCAGCTTAGGAGCACAATATATTAAAATGGAACTATTACAGAATATATTAAAATTTAACTGTTGTAGGCCAAACAACAGCTTCGGTTGGACGAATGGGCAGGTCCATCCGGGTAAGTCTGGATAAACCACGATCTCACATATGAACGGCATGAAGTGGAAGTGTTTTGTCTTCTGCGTTTCGTCTTGTGAATGAGCCAGCCTGGGCCCACTTTATTAAAAGGTGGCAACGTATTTGCAAACCTGCGGGTGTTACAAATGTCCATGGGCGGCGGTTATCATGTAACATCAGGTGAGCTAGTTTACCAGAGCTAGCTCACTTGCCAGAGAATTACTGACTGTTTTTTTTTATCTTCTCAGATAAAAAAAACAGTCACTAATTCTCTCTTTATTTCTTTTGCTTTAAGTTTAAAGAATTAAGGGACGTCTTTCTGAAGAAATAAAAGTGAAATTATTAAACTTGACGAAATTAATAATTTACTACAAATATAAGATTTGCAGTCTAGTAGTCATGGTATAACAGTGGAAAATCTCAAAGAAAAATTATTAATTTTTAAAGACTACATTAATAATGTACTAACTTATTTTATTTACGTGAATATTATTCATTTTAGTAAAACTAATCTATGGATTATAATATAAATAATATATTAAATTTAAAAATAGAAATAAACAGGGATAAATTCCTAAATTAATACCAATCTTTCAAATAATATCTATATAGCTGCCCTCGATTCGCATGGGTAGATCAATCTAAGATGACACAAATTTACCACATTATAATTAATAGTAATATTTTATAATGTTATGATAATTTACTTGCTTTTACTGCATCAACGCTATATATTGTGATGAAGACAAGCTTAGCCAAATACGACAGGACCGAATTGATCTGACAATATTAAGATACCTTTGACAAAATTTGGTTTATTAAAAATATACATGTAATAATAAATATACAGGTAATGTAATAAATATAAAGTAAATAAATCGTTATAAAAATTAGTGTCTATTAAAAAAGAAGACTATCTATTCCATACTCATTTATAAATTTTACGTATTAATAATGTGTTCCACAAATCATCATTATTTTAGGAGGGGATGGGCCAGTTACGAATTGTTCCCGGTGGCTTGCAGTTGTTGGGGCAAGCTCTTGTCCTGGACTCGCTCTTTGCGTCCAGTATCAAGTCCCGCCGCGGCCAGCCCATTTCCGTTGAGTCCACGAGGAATTTCACAGTTTGCACGCGTGATTCGCACGGATCTATGCAAAGTAGGTTGTATTTAGGTGAGTTTATTTTTATAGTTCCTTACCAATAACTTTATTGTAGTCAACATTCAAATACATTAAATGAACTCTTTGTGTACTATACGAATACATAAAGATTTAACAAAACATATTAGAAACAAGTTACGTATAGTTATTATGAATGTTTTGGTTTTATTACATTGAGACATCGTTTTTCGCGCATAAGTGATTCGAAAAGTAGATAAAACATTAATGCATACCACAAGAATTTATTATCACAGCATCAGATCGATCATTTGACGACCCGATTGGCGTAGTCGATAGTGACCCTGTCTCTTGCGCCAGAGGTTGTGGGTTCGATCCCCACTACTGGAAAAATATTGTGTGACGAACATAATGTTTTTCTAGTGTCAGGGTGCTTATATATCTATAATATATATTTATTTACAAAAGAAAATTACATTTAAGTATGTTTATCAGTTACCTAGTATCCATAGTAAAAGCTTGTCTTAGTTTGGGACTATATAAAGTTGTGTAAAATGTCCTCGAAATATTTATTTATTTATTATTAAAATAGTATTTACAAAAAAAGAAAAGATCCTAGTACCCATAACAGTATAAATTTATGGTTATATTTTATTTTCATATTACGCGACGTGAATTTTTAAGAGTATAAGGTGCAGCAAAATGACAAGTCCTAGCTCTCGGAACCGGGTTGAAGCGATGCAAATGAGCCTGAATATTTCACCCCTTGTTAGGTCACGACCGTTTGGAGGTGAACGCTTTGCGGCTGGAGGTGAGGGACTCTCGGGGCGGTCTGTTGCTAAGCGCGAACCAAGATTCCGTTACGGTGGGCGCCGAAAACCTGGTCGTGTCTACTCCAGGGGGTGCGTCGTTCCACACCGCGGTACAAACGCCGCTCGTACGCGCCCCACCGTCAAAACAGCTGGTGTAAGTACAACCCATATACCACTTTTGGGTATCTTTTTTTATGCGCGAAGTGGCAAACTAGCTGGCGGTTCATCTGATGTTAAGTGATAGCCGCCGCCCATGGGCATTTGCAACACCCGTAGGTTTGCAAATGCGGTGCCACATTAAAAAGTTCTTTAAAATGAGTGTGTGTAAATCATGAAAAAGTGTGTTATGAAATATATCAATTTCTGTACCACTTTTGGGTAAGTTTAAAATGGGTGTGTAATTCATGAAAATACTCGTGAGGAATAAAATCCATTTCGAAACACACAAGACAACTTTTTATATATTGAGCTTAGATATAAAAAAAACTGGGGCAGATTTCAAATGAAGACCAAACGTTTGCAGGTTGGAGTCTCCGACGAGGTCCCTCGAGATGCACGCGGCGCAGAGTATCGCGATGGAGTCCAGAGCCGGCGACATAAGTGCCAGCTGCCTCACTACATTCCGGCTGCGGTCTATCGCCGGCTCGGTAACAATAAATCATATCGCTTTCCTTAAAACCGAAGCACTAAAATCTCCTTTCGATCCATTTGAGAATTCATTTAACTTATACAGTTATTGTGTATATACGCCATGGGCAAACTTTTGGGAGCAATAATCGCGTCCCACTGAATGTGCCAAAAATTGTTATTTAATTGGTTAACTTATACAGACAAAAAAATTGAGTGCGCACTGATTGCGGTGGAGACAAGAATGCCATTATTATTTACAATCTTACACTCTAGTATATCACGTCCCGAGCACGTGTATGGCAGAAAAAAATCTCTGAACGAAAAACAAGTTCGCCCGGCATTTGTGTGGGCTGGTACTTTACTGCACCCTCATTTTCAGATACGTTTGGAAGCACCAAGTATATATATGCCGAAATTGAAATCGGCTCTGCCTCTGCCTGCGTCGACACCTCATTCGCACGATCCGCACCACCAAAACATCTACCAGTTGTGTGCTTGCGCTAATGGCAAGCTATTTCTTGCGCCGCCTCATGGTGCTTGTGCTGCGAGGGAAGAGAGTCTCATTTGCCGATGATGTAATTGAATTAAAAATATATTATTCGTAGAATAATGGTTACATAATGTATGTACATTTGTTGTATACTGCTAATGTAAAGCTTTTGTTTGCTTAACTAACCAACAATATATTCGCTCGCTTTAATTTGAATTCACTTAAAAAACTTTCATTAAACCACTACCAATTATTTACGAAATCTGTTAAATTAAAGTATCGAGCAGGCATAAAATGTTGTTCAAATGTAGCAATCAATACAGAATTCAAATTGAGCGTTTGTATGCGGTCTGTAAAAGACCGTATAGTCATTCCATAAATAAATGTAAGTAGTTTTCGGCTTATAAATACCGTAGCGTTAAACCACAATGACTTTTGAGAAATGTTATATGTAAATTAAATTTAACTAGTGCCTTTTGGAATTGCATTTAGAAGGAATATTGTCTGAGAAATCGAATTCTATTTCGCCTACGTACCGTGCGCTCGCGTGGATATTGACATAGTTAAATGAGCAATGGACAGAATTATTAATGCTTAAGTCCGCGATGTTGTGATAGATGATAGACGTAAATGTTTATTGTGTAAAATAAATATTTCATGCTTCCATACAAAATGAGTAGTTTGGGTTATCTTGGGATTTCAGTCACATTGAAATATCTGTATCGAATTAACCGTTTAAATGTAACATGAAGATACCACTGCATTCCTATTTTTATATTATTTGAATTTACATAATTATAAATTTACTAATTATATAAATTTTCTAATTTAAAGAAATACTCCTTGCATCTGATGGTCATGATTTTATTTAATTTCCATTGTCTATATTATGATAATTAATTTGAATTTAACTCTTTATATTATTTAGGCAATTTATTTTGACCCTTCTAATATAAAGTGACTCGCGTAATAGTAACTTCATATTTGTTACTCAGGACACGTCTTACAGGAATATTTTCACATTGTACTAATTTAAATGATTCGATCTAGGTACAAAATTCGCAAAATGAGTCTAGTGTGACATTTTATAGCAATATATGAGTAATGTTTATGGTTGGATTTAGCTTATTTCCTTAAGAAGTATAAAATTATTTAAGTTTATATTATATAAGTGTATTTGTTGTCCCTAAAGATATTCGTAGCAAATGCATGCAAATTTTGTGACTGTTATAAGTGTAGTTAATGCAATATGCAAAACGCAATTCAGTATTTTTTTAAACGCAACTTCAATTAATCATTTCAAATTTAATCTTTGCATATATGACTAACATTGGAATAACGTAAGAAAGGCATCATGAAAAATGTTAAGGATATAAATTCTTCAGTGCTATAATGACTGTTGATAATAAAGACATATAAATACGATTATAGATAATGCTCTTGTTATGTAAATGATTATCAAGTTATCTTGAAAAGTTGTTAATATTGTTGTAAATATATTAGCTATGTAATGTGAACTAGTAAAGTACATGAAACATTTGTTGATTTTAATTCAAGATCCTGGTATCTTATCGCGAGAAGAAATTTACTTTTTGATTTTTTTTTAAATTTAAGATTATTTTTAATGCTTATTTTCACACATTGTTAATTAATTTAGTATTAAACTCTTATTTAAGTTTTATTTAATTTATATAATATATATTGCAATAATAGCATTACTATTTAATCTTAACTTCTTGTAACAATAAATCTAACATGCGTGCCCATTTCAAGTACTCACATCTTCACAGTTACAATAAAAGTTAATTTAATCATGTAGTTCGTTTTTAAATGTTATATTTAGTTTTATAGTGCAAATTAAGTGCAGAACTCAAGATGAATCATTAAAATTTGTGGAAAAATGGACAAAAAGCCTTTCGCCACCGCAGGAATCGAACGCAAATCAATAGATTTTTTTTAAAGTAATAAATACTGAAATATTAAAAATTTGAATTAAAAGTAAATGTATTTATATTTACATAATGTTATTTCTTATAATTTATTCTAAACCATATCGATGTAAAGTGGCTTTTGTAATTAAATTGGTAACCGGATTGTATAGTATTTGTTGATACAAACAACATTAACTAACTATCCATTGCGATGGACATTTGTCTTACAGGTATAAAATATTTACAAAGTTAGTAATTGAATCCTTCCGGCAAACCGCCGCAAGTGCTTAATTGCATTATAAACGAACTCGGAATAACTTTGAAACTTTATCATTTAATTTGGTTTTAAACCATGTTACCCACATTTAAATATCCAGACAGACCTCAGTCACATTTCGTATCACGTCTTTTGAATAAATTCTTAGAGTGGAGTGTTATTTTCCAATAGATAATGTTACGATTGAACTGATATACTATATTATAGTATTTAAATAGTCAATTAGACCCATTTCATCTTTCATTTAACTCTTATTTGACTACCAAAAGAAATTACGTTACCTATATTTTTTTAAATACTGTTTCGAAGTTTAATTCTTTAATTTTTTTTTTATTTATTATGGTAGATAGATAAATTTTACAGGGTTATATTTTTATTTAACTGTGACGTTTTATTTTTTTATTAAAAATAACGATAGCTAAATATAAAATAAGCTACGCTTATCGAAGGAGCTTTTCCCGGGCGGCATAGGTTCGATATCATCCATAAAAATTCACATTTCAAGTTTCATCCTGTTTGCCCTGATAGCTTAGTGTCCGGGCGCTCACTTTTAATTCAATATACTTGAGTAACCTTAGTTCAAACCCCTGTGCCGGCACTAATTAAATTGTTCATTGCAATTTTAAGAGCAGAACATATCATACGCTCTGCGGTGAAGAAAAATATCGTAAGGTACGCGAAGTCCAATTCAATCTGCAGACGGGTCGCGTGGTGGACTACACCCTAATACATTTTGTAGTGAGGAGGCCTTTGCCCAGCAGTGGGAAATATATAAGCTGGTACTTTACTTTATTTTACTTTTTTTAGTTTACTTTGAATGCTGAGAGTAACACAAAAAATAAAATTAATCATAAACTTAAGGCAATAGTTCTCATACATGCTCACATGCGAGAGGTGAGGATAAAAGTATATTTACAATGTCCATAACAGTTATATTGAAAGAAATTTTTCCTACTGTAAAACAACATTATATATGACATATGCGAGTTTGGAGTATAAAAAAATATTCATCATAAACGGAGTCGCAAACTTTCGAGTGATATATTCGTTTCATTTTCTCGGGTAAAACATCAACAAGCGAGGTTGCGTTAGTGTGCGTATTTTGTCAGTGTGTGTAGTGTCTAACAGAATATAAAATGATACATAGTAGCTGTGTCGCATATTCGTTAAAATAATTACCGGCGTCAACAAAACAATCAATATAGCTGGCGTATCGCGGAACACAATGAGCGCTAAGAACAGTCACTGCTAAAGTTTAATTAAAGATTCATGATAAATTGTCGTAGGAAGCTGCATTCTGCGCGGAGTCTCGCACGTGAATAACGTCCGTTCCGCCGGCACTTAAATAACTTAAGCCAGTAACCTTACAATAAATTCATGAGCCTCCCACTCCTTTTGTTTCGCGCGCGCTGTTTTCACAGCGCTAATTGGCAGGAAGAACCGCTAAAACTCTATCAAAATGAGCATATTCTCACTACGTCATTATCATTACGATGATTATTAAAAAAGCAGGTGGTGAATTTATACACAATTTTTTTTCGGTACTCAATTTAAATTCACTAATTAATTGCTGTGAAGGAAACATACTAGATGGCGCCAAGCATAGCTTTAAATGTAATAAAAATAAAGTCGATAAAAAGGTATATCTTCACACCTATGAAAACGAACTGTTTTCATCGTTGTAAAGATATACCTTTTAGCTCAGTGACTAGAGCATCGGGTTCGTAATCAGGTGGATAGGAATAAATTCCCGCAGCGGCGAAAAACATCGTCTATTTTCCTACAAATTTTAAACTTCCATCTTATGTGCAGAGAATAGCACTATAAAAATTATAGCTTAAAAACTTAATTCTTATTTAACAAACGCTTATGCTACTATCCCATTCAATTCGAAACTTATTAAGAAAAATATTAATATCTCCGTTTCAACTACATCTAATTTAATTTCGCGTTCCTTTGTTGTGGTGCGGCTGGGAACTCTAAAAGCCGTTTCAGAGACACCTCACCCCGGCGTCTAGTGAGCGAAAGGAAATAAAGTTATGATTTATGTAGTGAAATATGTTGCAGGAGGAAAGCTCTAAGCGGCCCCGGCTCGCCCTGTCGATGCCAACATAAATTCGTACCAAACAATCGCTTACAAATAAATAACCCGGCAACTGACACCTTATTTAAATACTACAATTGAATTATCGTTTTCGGAATAAACTTGAATTCCAATGTTTTGATTTCCTTTATTATTTTACCATTGGCTATCAATCACTTTCACTTTTTAAAATGTGATCCTACTGCAAAAGGACACTCAGATGTAATAAAATACTCCGAATAAACCTTATAAAAAGGCAATACGAAAATAAAAGATAGTTTTACGCTGATGTATGTTGAAATAAAATCATTTGCGCAACTGAGACCAATTTCTTAAACTGTAGAGCGTCTCAAAGAATTAGGCATCCTAAGGCAGTCGGGGAATAATAGTTAAACATGTATCTCAGACAGCTCGAAAAGAATCGAACAATTTGAAGGTTTAAATTAAAAGTAAATGTTAGTGTAACATCCTTTTTATTAAATTTTTTATTTTCATTTTCTCCAAATCTGTAATGGGTCATTAATAACAACAATAAAACTATATTAAATTTTATTATGATTTTATGGTAGCTTGTGTATTACAAAACTTCTACAACATATAAAGAAAAACATGCATAATAATATGTGTTAAACACTAAGAGGACATGCATTAAAAATTTATGCTAAACTAAATTGGTTTATTTCCTGCACAAGAGAATTTAACTCACGATTTCGTCACAAATCGTTGGAAACGGTAAATGTAGTCTATTAAGGAAATACAGTAATACACGCGGGCCCCTTGCCCGTGGTAT